ATTTCGTTGGACTTTCTTCTCTTTCTTCTCTAATATATTCATTTTCTAACGTTGAGGAGCATGGATGGCTGTGAGAATGAACCATTTCTTCTGATAGCGGAGACAGCAAGCTGCGCAGAATCACCACCATGTACTCAAATGCTGTGCTATGAAGACGTTTCTTGCTTTTTAGGTAAGGATTTGAATTCTACTACCCTTGACAAATTTTATCATTGATGTTCATGTATGCTTGCAATAAAATGTAAGTGTGATCCACTAATGTCCACTAGTCATTTCGTGTGGAACAAGAGCTATAAGTATGAAGTGTATGAGCCGTTTTTTGGATGGATAACACTCTTCTTGCACGCTGTAAACGGGGTTTGCTTCGGTCACAATTACGCACTATCATAATTACCCCCCATTGAGGAACTCGTTCTCAACCCCGATGCCATTCCCCTCTCACCCCCCAACCTGTCTTCTCTTAAGACGTGTTTTGTGTGCGCCTAGTTGACCTCGCATTTCTCAGTTTAGATAACTTTTTCGAGGTTGAAATGATATTAAGTTGTAATCTTAAAGAAGTTAAATCGTACAATCGTAATGGTCTACAATTAACTTTGAAACAACGTGCTGCTCGTAATATGTTAACCATATATTAGCTTTAATACCTGTAACTATGAATTTAGTTGCTCCTCCTAAAGATGATACCATTTTCTTCCACAACGCATCAATTACTTCTATGAATGTTACAGCTGAAGAGTCTGTATTTGGGCTTGTATTCTAATTATCTGTCATAATTTTCGGAAAGTTCCTATTTTACACTATAGCAAAAGCTATTCAAATCTCTGCCGACTTAGGTTTTTTTGCAAAATAATTGCAGGGAAAATTCATATTATTATGTTCTGAATTCACTATCCAACAGGTATTTATTCTGAACTAGAAACTGTTCTTCTTCAATTAGAAATCACTCCTACGCTTTCATTTGATGTCTGTAAGTCCAAATATTCTGCTTGTACAAACCATGTGACTGATATTATTATTAAATCATACATTAAATTAGCCAAACGGAGACATGAAAATGAGAACTCATTGCAAAAAAGAACGACTTGCATCTTCTCTTAGACAACCATACCATAAAATGAAGGATTTAATGCTTTCAAGGGGCATCTATTTGCGTGTTTGAAGTTCCATCATAGTATCTACTTTACAACCGCATCGTCTTTTCTAATCACTTCAGCTTTTTGAGTCACAGAACATCAGAGCGCGTACATTATGCCTGCTTATATATTAATAGAACTACGTTTATGTGAGGGTTTACAATTTCATCCATAAAATTTGAAACAATGAGGCTGTTCGGTTCAAGCCGGAGATTTCGTGATCAAACATGTTATTTGATTAATATAAATGACAAACTAGGTTTACACTAAATTTCTACAGTTATAT